TTAGCCACTTGCCACTAAAAAACGTAATTTTATCATGCTTTAATTATCCTTCTTTTGTTTTTCTTGAGAATTCATAGTGCAGTCTTTATTGTAAATTCCAAGACTATAATTTTTTTCAAATTTCTTTTTTTATCCTTAAAAATCATTTGCCTGCGGGCACCAATACCCCCTTTCCATTTTTAATTTCAAAATATAGCAAAAGTTTATTTCTGTTAACACATTTTTTAAATTTAATAAGCTACTTGCCACTAAAAACATAATTTTATCATGGTTCAATTATCCTTCTTTTATTTTTCTTGAGAATACATAGTGCAGTCATAATTTGCCTGCGGACACCAATACCCCCTTTCCAATTTTAATTTCAAAACATAATATAGTTTATTTTTGTGGACACATTTTTTAAACTTTATTAGCCACTTGCCACTAAAAAATTTAATTTTATCATTTTTTAATTATCCTTCTTTTGTTTTTCTTGAGAAGACATATTGCAGTCTTCATTGTGTATTCAAAGACCATTACTTTTTCAAATTTCTTTTTTGATCCTTAAAAATCATTTGCCTGCGGACACCAATACCCCCTTTCCAATTTTAATTTCAAAATATAATATAGTTTATTTTTGTGGACACAATTTTTAAACTTTATTAGCCACTTGCCACTAAAATAAGTAAGTTTATCATGATTTAATTATCCTTCTTTTGTTTTTCTTGAGAATTCATATTGCAGTCTTCATTGTGTATTACAAGAACATAACTTTTTCAAATTTCTTTTTTGATCCTTAAAAATCATTTGCCTGTGGGCGCCAATACCGCTTTTCCATTATTATTTTCAAAATATAATATAGTTTATTTTTTGGGACACAATTTCTAAACTTTATTAGCCACTTGCCACTAAAAAAAGTAATTTTATCATGATTTAACTATCCTTCTTTTGTTTTTCTTGAGAATACATAGTACAGTCCGTATTTTAAATTCCAAGACTATAATTTTTTCCAAATTTCTTTTTTGATCCTTTAAATCATTTGACTGCGGGCGCTAATACCCCCTTTCAAATTTTATTTTTGAAATATAGCTCTACTTTTTTTTGTGGACACAATTTTTAAACATTATTAGCCACTTGCCACTAAAAAACATAATTTTATTATGATTCAATTTCTCTTCTTTTATTTTTCATGAATATGCATAGTGCAGACTTCATTGTGTATTCAAAAACCAAAATTTTATCCAAATTTCTTTTTTTTATCCTTAAAAATCATTTGCCTGTGGGCGCCAATACCCTCTTTCTCATTTATTTTTTATAATAATTAAAATCTAGTTGATTTTTAAGTACTCAGATTTTAAACGTTAAGAATAATATGTGCCATCTAAATAATCATCTTGTCATAATATTTAAATGCATCAGGGATTTTTTGTTTTGAATTATATTGCAATAACATTACATACTGCAGCAGTCTTCAGTGTGTATTGCTATTGTATAATTTTTCACAATTTAAGTTTTTGCTTTTCGAAAGCATTTCGCCTGCTGGAGCCAATACCCTCTTACAACATTTTTTTTTTCATAATTATGTATATTATATATTCTGTTTGATTTTTGTGTACACAAATTCTAAACTTAGTTACAAAATCGTCCTATAATAATTTTTTGCTTTTAATTATATTGCAAGATTACATACTTCAGTCTTCAGTGTTTATTTATATTGTGTAATTCTAAAAAATTTAATTTTTTTGCTTTTCATAATCATTTTACCTACGGCGGGTGCCAATACCCTCTTTCTCATTATTATATTCTGTTTGATTTTTGTACAGGTACACAAATTCTAATTAACTTAGAAACAAAATCATACTTCCATAATTTAGTTATTCATAAGACATTTTTTGCTGCTAACTATATTATTATAATGATATTAATGATATTAATACATACTGCAATCTTCAGTGTTAATTTCTATTGTGTAATATATCATAACTTTTTTTTGCTTCCTGTAATAATTTTGCCTTCAGTTGCCAATCAGTTTTTTTCATTGTTAATTCCAGTTTATTTTTGTGTTCAACATTTTCCTTAAGCTAATATACCATGTCTTATGTTAATATGTTATTGCTGAAAAATTATTTTCTAAGATTGAAGCAATGTTTATTTATACTGAGTTGAATATTTTGAAATTGACCACACAAATATGAAAATGGTATATAATAATTTAGCATGAATTTGGTGTATCATTATATAATTATTATATCAGTTATTATTTTTGTTATTGTGGTATCATTTTTTTTGTACTGCATCTGAAATTCTGAAGGTATTTATTCATAAATGGTAGGTTTGACTTATTTAATACTTTATTTCGAATTTATAAATATTTAAAGTCATGGAATGGGTCAAAAGATTCAAGATAAACTATTTATAAAAAGGTTCAATATAGGAATATCAGAGTTTATGGACTTTAATCTATGTAAGGTATTTTTTCAAAATGGTTATTCAACTTTTTATTTATATTTTATTCAAATATAGAGTATAACAATCTAATTAATAATAATATATATAATTTACAAACATGTTCAATTGAGGTTTAATAAAATAAAATTTTTGTTTGATATTAATTTAATTATTTCCACTTCAGGTTTACCTATTTTTGCATCTGGTAATGAATCGTTAAGGTATTTATCAACAGGTTAGATACTATAGTATACATAATACATTATTTGATAACAAGACAAGGTAATAAAGATTTGTTAATAAACCTATTTAGCTAAATAAAAAGAATGAATGCAACTAACACACCTTTTATTAGGGCTTGGTAAAAATTTTATTTTATTAAATTTAAATCAAATTTTTATTCAATTTCATCTTTATGTAATTATTTCAACAGTATCAATCTTAATTGATTCATGGATCTTGTTTGTTATCGCCCCACCAGTGTTAAATAAAAAAATAATTATGTCAGATTGTTGGAAAGCCAATAATAATTTTCAGCAAGCATGATTCATACATAATACCATTAACCACACCTACATTTTGTTGATCCATACACAGGGGCACACACCCAAAATATTGAGAGGTTATGGGGTTCTGCAATGTGGGGAAATAAAGTCTGCGTGGAACTAATAAAAATTTTTTGTAGTCCTATTTGTCTGAATTTATGTGGAGAACACATTTCGGGAAACAAGATGCATTTCAAGCTATTTTAAAAGATATTTCAGAGTTCTGGCCTCCTTTGTAATTTAAAATATTTTTTTTTTAAATTTATAATTATATTACATTTTTAAAATTTGAATTTTATTCTTTTGTACTATTTTTAATAATATTAAATATTGAAATAATTTTATTTAACACTAGCGGGGCGATAACAAACAAGTGCCAAAAGATTAATTCACACTGAATGTCTTTCGTTGTCAGTCTTTGTAGATAATTTAACTATGACCAATCCATTCCTTAATATTTATGGTCAAAACAGGTGACCAGAACATTATCAGTGGTTAGAGGCGACCTATGAATTTTTAATATTTTCCAAACAGCTATTATATCAACTAATGTGGAACCTTGAATAAAATTTTCAAACTTTTTGATCCAAAGAATAAAATTGTATTGATATAAAAACTAAAAAATTTTAAACTGAAGAAGTCTGGAAACAGCTTAAAATAAGTCAAAATATTTTGTAAATATCATGGTGTATAGCAAACACTAATATAAATATTCAATGAAATTGCCATGAATATACGGTAATTTGTTTTAGAGTTATACCAAAATTCAAAATCAATTTTACACAAAAATTTCTATTTTTCCTCAATTTTTTTTTTTTTTGAAGCTTTTGATAACTACTGGGAATTTAAAATTTTGACCTCCCCATTCACCAGCTAGATGATTATTTCTACCTGAACAACTATTTCCCATTGGAAAAGCTACTGAAGTTGAAAATTGAAACATTATTTCGAGATTTAGACTACTTATCATCTACATAAAAAAAAGCACATAATTGTAAAATCAATACATTCATAGATTTGTTCAAAATACAAAATTGGCTTACAATGATATTTAACTAAGTAAAAAAATATTTTTTAAATCGTTATTATCTTTGGATTTTTAGATATAGTATGTTTATTGTTAACAAAATATACCTATATAATTTAGGAGTATCAAACAATTTGTTGGCTAAAATAAACAAAATAAAATTTATTTTTATGTATATAAGTTTAAGTTATTAGTATTTTTATAATTTTTAAGTAATTTTTAAATTATAAAAAAATATTAAAAGAAACATAAATCATTTWCAATAATATTTATTTAGTTATATGATATAACAAAATACTGAAATGAGTTTACAATTTGTGCAAACCATGAATCAAAACGTTGACTATTATTTATTATTATTACTATGAGGAATTATCTAGTAGAAACAGAAATAGGGGAATCTCGATCATATGTATTTGTAACATCCATTTCAACATCATCGTCTTCCTCATCATGGGTTTCACTATCATCTGAAGCATTGACTTCTTCCTCCTCATCTTCTTCGTCCTCTTCATCTTGCACCTATTAAAAAAAGAAAATTAACACAATATTAGTAATTGTGTGTGAGAAAAAAAAGAGTAAGACGTAAAATTGAATTATTCTGCTGTCTTGTTCCTAAACATAATTATTTTTGTTTTATTCATTAAATATTTAATAAAAATAAATACTTTAATAACTATATTTTTAAATCAAAAATGTTGTTCAACATAACTACGTAAATAATATGATAATAAAAATTACTAAAAATAAAAAATATAATAATATATTGATAAATTACAATTAGAAATGGAAAAAATTTACAACAGAAATAATGTAGAAATAGTATGAATTATMATAAATATATTGTAATGAGAATATATTACTTCAGTTGCTGTTTTGCCAATTGGAACTGGAAAGTCCTTGTCGTTGATTTTATTTGTTAATGTAAGTAACTAAAAAGTATTTGGATCAATATTATTAATCCATTTCAAAATATTTTGGTAAAAATTCATATTTACCCAGTTTTGGTGGAAACTTTCTATTCGTATAAGTTCTGTATCTTCATTTTTAGGCTCGTCAACACTAAACCATAATGGGTCTACGATATTAGGGAACATGGTTGGAAAAATTGGGATACCAGCATTCATATTGATGATTGATGAGTAATTTTAATGAATAAAATATATTATAATTAAATGAAAAATATTCTATAAAAATGTAAATAGTCGCCGTTTGCGATTCGACGGGGCCATAGATAAGATATAAGAATAATTAGGAAAGTTAGTATATTATAGCGACTATAGAATACCATCAATACAAAAGTATGAGCTTGACTCGCCTGACGCCTGGAGTCTTGACTCTTGATAGAGCGATGAGTATTTGAGTGATTCTGAAACGACTGAAACAGTTTATTGATAACAGAATATTATTGTGGTTGTTAGCTGATAACCATAGAGTACTCTATGCTGATAACATATAGAAAAATACAATATTTTGGAACAATGTTTTCATGACTATTATCAGTTATCAATGTTATCATAATTCATAATTATTGTAAGCTTAGATCATATACGATATACATGTTATGCATGTTAATATGYTATACATGTATATGATCTAAGATTGTAAGTTACTAATAAAATATTAAAATAGTAAGAGTAAGGTATAAATTTGTAACTTRGCTAAAAAGTCATAACATAAAATATTTATTCTGTACTAATGTACTACATTATATTACCTACTTTTTGTTATAGAACTCATATTACAAAGCTAAAGTATATCTTTTAAGATGGATTCAGATTTGAAAGACTTAGATCTTTATGGAATACTTGAGATCCAACAGTCAGCTACTGAAAAGGAGGTAAGTCAATTTCTAATCATTCGTGTAATTAATATTAATATTTGTTATTTCCATCAGATTAAAACAGCGTATCGAAAGAAAGCTCTACAATGCCATCCGGATAAAAACCCTGATAATCCCAAAGCAGCTCAACTGTTCTTGCAGTTATCTAAAATATTAACTGTTCTTACTGACAAAGCAGCTCGAGTAAGATTTCTTGCTTTTTTATTGTAAATATATTTTTCATTTTAAATGTTTTTACTTGTCTTAGTTAGCTTATGACAAGTTAGTTAATGCTAAAATTGCTGCAAAACTGCGAGAAAAAGAATATGATTCAAAAAGAAAGAAACTGATAGATGATCTWGTTAAAAGAGAAAATGAAGCATTAGGAAAACAAAAAAATACAGTAGAACAAAATTTTGAGGTAAAAATTATTGTTTAGGGTAATTTAATAATTTATTAAATTTTTGTTTTTAAATTATTTTTTATTTTATTTTTTTTTGTATAGAAAGAACTAGAGCGTTTAAGAAAAGAAAGTTCATCTTTACTTGCAAAAGAAAGGGCCCGCGTTAATGAGCTTCTTAGACAGCAAGAAACAGAGAAAGAAAAGATTGGTTCATTTAAATTAAAAGTAAAGTGGAAAGAAAATGGAGTGTATAATAAAGAAAATTTGACATCATTGTTCTCCAAGGTAATTTATTAAAATAATACTTTAAATATTTATCTAATATGCTTTACAATATTATAGTATGGTGATGTTATTACTGTTGTGGTTCTGGAAAAYAAGAAATGTGTTGCTCTTGTTGAGTACAAATCTAAGACTTCTGCTGTAAGTGATTTTAAATTAAGTAAAGGTTAACTTTGTAAAAATATTTTCGGTGTTCATACAAATATTATGTTTTGCTAGATAAACGCCAAAAAATTGGAAGTTGGTTATCCATATTGTCCTCTAATAGTGAGTTTCCTTGGAGATTATGGACAAGACACTAAAAAGAGTTCTAATTATACTTCTGCACCAAATCCTAGTTCTATCTTTTCAAMTTGTCAACATTCAAATGAAAATCATGCTGAAAATACTTCATCATCTGCACAAGTAATTTTTTTAAACCATGTTAACCAATTTACTACTTATAATCAACATCCAATTTTTCTTAGGCTTTTTCAGATTATGAAGCAATGATCCTTGAGAGATTTCGAAGAGCTAATAAACCTCAACAAGAAAATGATAATTCAAACAATATAAATACTAAAGAACCTTGGGTACTATGAAAAGTCTCATGTATTTGAACTACATAACTTAAAATTTGATTATTATTAAATATTAATACTTTTAGTTATTGTTTCCATAATATGTAAATATGTATAAATCATTTTTTCTACCTTGAATGACTTTACAAAGTTAAGGTTGTCTACCAAACAATCAGAAGAAAAATCCCCCAAAATATAACAAAAGTAATTTCTGAAAAAAAATATTTAATGCACTGTATTAAAATAAATAAATGTGGAATTGTAAATAATAAATATACAAAAACAAAAATTATAATGTATACCTATTACCTACAYGATTGAAGTTATTATTTAAATCCTGTCGATAATTTATATTGTGTAATTATGTTGTGTCAAAATTATTTTTTCAACAGATTATGTAATCATTTTAGTTTAAATTTAATGTTGTATAATCTGTGATGATCTGAAATATAATGTTTTAAAGCATAATTACAGAAGCAGCAAAAGAAGTAATTTTTGTCTATATTGATATGGTAGGCTATTGCAWACTTTCAACTTTTATCACTATTATTTCAGTGACAAAAACATTTTGAAAAGTGCAAAAACTAGGATTTATTCAGGGTAATATAAATAGATGGTCTGCTTATTGTGTTGGTATGTTGGATTGGTTAAATTGCACGTGATGTCAAAATAAATACACTTCTTTTTATTATATTTCCTTAATTATTAGAAGTAGCAAAATCAAAATTTAAATGAGTRGTTTTTAAGTTAATTACTTTAGTGTATTTTTCTGTATACCTTCTAAATGTATAA